AAAAAAAAAAAATCGTCGGGTAATGAAACGCAACGTTTATTTGACTTGACTTTGAGGGGGGTACTGGTACTACAGAGTGCTATTAAAAAGTGATTGCAAGGTGTAAAGAGGGGTGATATGATGTGCGTAGATTCTGGTAGGCATTCATGCACCAGGCGCAAACGTCAAGTCGGAAAAAACAGAAAAGAGAGTGAACGGATTTCAGCGAAAGCGGCTGGTTTCTAAACATGTTTGCTATCATATACACTACTAACGTAAGTTTCGTCGCTTTCTTCATTGTACATGGAATCTGAATCACTCTCATCCAGCTGCATAGGCTCCATTGGGCGCTCATCAGAGACGATTGTCGGAGTTGTGGCGTCGGGGTTTGAAATGGGTTGAGTTGCATGATCCTTTGTCTGTTGCTGCTGTAACATCTTTTTAAGCATTTTTTCGGCCATCATCTTACTTCTCAGCTTGTCACAGACGTATTTCAGCTGCCTGTTTTCAGACTTGACTTGTTCCAATTGACGAAGCAAAACATCGTTCTCTTTGGTGAGCGAATGAATCACTGATCTCATCTCATGATGTTGCTGGTTTTTCTTGGCTCTGTATTTGGCGGAGGCGGTTTTATTGCGCTGGCGTCTTTCTTGAAGTGACAATGTTCCTGTATTTGATGGTGAGGGTGATGATGATGAAGACGACGACGTCGACGAAGAGGAGGATAGTAATGCAGGTACCAAAACGTCATTCATGCAACTTGTGATATTTTCATCTCCGCTCGATCCAGAGGTGCTGGCAGTTTCCTGGTCCTCAGGCTTCCTTTTCGAGAAGGAGGATTCTTCGAGAAGATCACTTTCAGGCGATGATGATGAAGAGAAATCATGCTGAGTGCGGCTGGCTCTTTGCTGGTGGGGAGCTGCATGAAACCGATTATAGCCTGAGGCGGGTGTGAAGTTTTCAAATGGCACCAGACCTGTATTGACGGCACTTATACCACCGCTATAATGTTGGACTCTATGAGGTAAACGCTGTGGATTGGAAGAGTAAAACGTGGAGAGCGAGGATGAGGAGGAAGATGTCGCTATAGGAGCACTGTCATTGGACGGTGAAGTGATCGATGAGATGGCCATTGGCTTTTGTGGGGCTGAATCAGTAGTGGTTGTCATTGTGTTGCTTGAAAGATAAGGAAAAGAGAAAAAAAGCTGCTCACTTTCAGAGTTTATAAAGAGAGAGAATCCTCATTCATGCAAAAATAGGAGCTGGATGGCCAGGTATTACAATGGCTCCCTTTCCTTGCTTTCTCTTCGTAGGATTCAAGTTTGGAAGCGAGCTAGATTGATGAGAATACCGAGGGGCAAATGAAACTAATCAACCACAGCACTACAGGTCAAAATGAGAATGAATTACAACAGGTCAGGACTAAAACGAGCCATCAAAAAACGACATTTACCGAGAAAAAGGGGGAAAGAAGTCTACTTTGAGATGGTTGCATAGTCCTTGTAGTGTGCAAAGGGCTATTTGATAAGATGATAGTTTATTTATGTGATTATGATATACAGATAAGTAATGATAGAGGAATATACTAATACATGCGATAGAACTGGGATAGTTACAGATTCCCATTGTCTCAAACAGCTGTAAGCGAGCGAAGTGTCGGGGTTTGAATCATCAGAGCACCAACAAGTCCAAGATTTGGATGATGGCGAGAAACGGCCTTTCTATATTGTCTTCTTCGAAATGACACAGGTACAGAAGACGGTATTCCTGGTACCATTGCCTTGAATGCCGCTCGCTTCTTTGCCGATGTCGAGATGTATAGGTGGGGTGGTGGGGGTGGGGGTGTCGATTCTCCTCGTTGTGTCGGCGTTTGAATTATGATATCATGCGGTACTGATTCCCTTTTTTGGACTGATGGTTCAAAACAATTGATTTGACTTGCGATCCCATTGAGTTCGTTGGATAATGCCATCGTCTATCAACAGCGACAGATAGTTAGTTCAGTTATCAACGGTTATCGTATCTAAATTGTTCAGTTTGACGGTAATCATCATCAACTTACATCCACAGATGATTCTAAGATATCACCAGCACCCATATGGCCCGTGTGCTTGAAATTGGTCGGCTTTCCAATGATACTCTTGGTTACTCTCTTGTACTTTGGCTTGGCTCGTTTGCTTTGGACCGACACTTTACCCACATGATGGTGTCTTCGATGCTTGGTCTTCCTCGCTCGTGAAACTGATTTGTTTTGAGATCGTACCAGGACCAGTGTTGCTGACTGGATTTCAGTTTTGGTCGAACAAGGGGATGATGGCGTCTTGGCTTGAGAAGCGAAGGTTTTGAAATGCAGTTGCTGCTTTGCCTTTGAGATAGTGGAGCCCATTGTTGCGGTTATGAAAGAAAGAAAGAGTGGAACGAAAAAGGTCTCGTTGTTGCACTTGTCCCCCTTTTTATAGAGGGGGGCAATGCGTTTCCTTTTTTGACACAAGCATAAACAACTGCAAAAGTTGTTGTTTCTGCTTTTGAGATCCGCAGCCTGTTTGGCTACGCATATTCAATCCAAGTGGTCGGTCTATTAAGTTAAAAAGTCTACAAAAGGTAACTGAACCCCGCCTCTTTTTCAAACCTGTGCTGCAGAGAAACGTCCTTCTTCACCCAAAATGAGCCTCAACAGTAAACAAAATCAAAAATCACTCGCACTCACCAAGCAAAAGCTATAACACTTGGTATATTACTGTACACAGAACGTACGGAAAAACCATGATCAAAATTTGGCGAAATGTGTGATTTACACCCCACAAAAACCATAGCCCCTCCAAGAAAAGTACCCCAGCTCTTACCGGATTTGAAACTCCGCAGCTGGTACAAAGGTTCACTTTCCATTAATCCTTTTTCATTGCTTCTTCTTTGCTTCTTTATCACTTTTTTCTTACCATCGACAATGGCACTGCAACACCAACAACTAGCCTTCTATACAAAGTCCTTGAACGACGATCGCAGGGTAACTCTCTCCTTCTTACCATCTTGTCTTGCCATGGCTAACATTTGCCTTTTTGCATCATTGTGTCTTTTTTCCTCGGTAGATCGGGTGGGATGGCAACGGACATAACCGCTCGTTGACTACAGTCCATTACAGCTGACTCTTTTGCACCGCCAGTTAACTCTTCCTGCTTCAATCTCTTGGCCATGACACTAGGTTAGTCATTACATACTTTTGCAGTCTCCCTTCCTTCATTGTCTTGGTCATGACACTAGGTTAGCCATTTTAAGTCCTGTACATACCTTCGCAGCCTTCTTCCCCATCCCCATGTATCTCAAACATAGTCTCATCTACCCAATAAAACTTACTTGAAACCATATCCATGACTACCGTTTCCATCCCTAGGGTCAAACTTGAACGAAGGAACCGATATTCAGCTGTTGCTTCTGCTTAGACTTGACCTAGGGTTTGTGTACAAAGAAGACTCCGCTTGGTGTTAGGTGTAAGGTGTATGGGTGAACGAACTTTTTTTTTTACTCGACTACCTTGCCCTTTTGAACTCTTTCTACACAGGCACCATGTACCATCCACCCGTCAGACCCAAAAAGCTGACTAAGATTTAGAACTCCGCTTTTTAAAAAAATGGTGGACTATCCCCCCTGAAAAGTGTCTCTTTTTGTTGGACATGGTTTTTATCGTGGTAGTGTTGGAAAACTTTATCTCAGATTTTACATCAAGATATTAATGCTTCGTATCTACCGAATGATGCCAACGAAGGTGAGTTTGGTTGAATGTATTACCAACTTTGGGGCCGCTGGAGTCGGTTGCTGTTTTAGGGTTTAGGGGAGAGTTCAGAGAAGTATACAACACGGGTATACTCCAAGTTTGGTATATTTCAGTAGATATTCTTTACATCTTGTTCCATGTAAAATTTGAAGATGAGTTGTCTACCTTGGTTATGGAAAAAAGTGCAACTTATCACAGAAATCTACACCTGGAAACCGAAAAAGTTTCCAAAAAAGTCAAATCGCCCGCCAACCAAATTCACACCCCGCCTTTTTTTTCAAACTCTCGTGTGCGGTCAACGTTTGGCACACTTGCATATCAGAGCTTCCAAGATGACAGGGACATATTTAAACGAGCAAAGTCATGAAGATGGTTTCAAGTAGGTTTTATTGACTGCATGAGACTATGTAGGACTTGCCATGGAATAACTAATCTAGTGTACTGAGCTATGTAATGAAGAAAGGGAGAGCTAAACGGCGGCGCAAAAGCGTCAGTGGCAGTGGACAAAAGGAAGCAGGCAGTGGGGTAGTGGTGTTTAACATTGCAATGGCTACACATTCTACAGTGGCAAAGTGAGTGTACCTAAAAAAATAACATTGAGAGGGTTCCCCCATGTTTTTCGTAATCCCTTGCGTCCAATCTAACCACACGTCCATCCAGTCCTGCTGCCAGAGAGCCTATATCCATTGCCAACCTGTTGAATCTGCTAACAAAAGGAAGAGAAATGATGGAAGATGTTATTGTTAGCAATGTAAGAGAGAGGTGGACAGGATAGTGAGAAGGAGAGAGTTACCATGCGTACGTTGTTAAAGAGCGTTGTAAAGAGTGCGAGTCGTTCCTGATGCGGTGCCCATGTCGATGGACAGAAAAAGTAATGAAGAAGCGAAGAAGAAGCAATGAAAAGGACTTATGGAAAAAGTGAATAGTTGTAGGAAAATTCCTGGGGGAGCCATGGGGTTTCAAACGCCGAAAAAGTGAGGGCTCTTTTCTCTTCACAAACTTACAAAAAGTTGAAATCCAGCCACAAAAATTCTGATGCTCACTCAAAATCATAATCAAGCACACTTTTGCACAGTAAGACTACAAACCAAAAGAGCAAAAGCAGATTCCACCCCAATTTACACTCCGAACCGCACCCTCAAGCGGCAAAAAATGCCCCGAATGGGGATCGATCCCATGACCTTTAGAACTTCAGTCTAACGCTCTCCCAACTGAGCTATCAAGGCATAATTATTACTAAAACTGGAAGGTGCTATATAAAGCACATATTTTGGCGGGGTCACGTGACTTTAGACCAATGAACGAGCGAGCTCCAGAGGAGATTTGTCGGATTTTTGACATGGAGGCGGAGTGTGAAAATAAAATTTGAGTTGTATCGGAAATGAGAGCCCACCCCACAGCATGTCAGTTCTACATTAAAACGATCAAGTACAAAATGATAATAGGGTCTTTATTGATTGATTAAAAGTAAACATGTGTGTGAATACAAAGTAATCTACGAATGGGAAGGAGGAGGATGAAGGTATGTGCGGTTCATTTCTTTTACAATGGGTGATCAAAAGATACTAACAAAAGCAACTGTGAATGGGGGATGGTATTGTGTTAAGTGGATGGGAAGATGGGGAAGAATAACAGTAATGGAATGATGGTAATGATAATGATGATAATGTTGTTGTTAATGATGGATGATGATGGATGATAGCAAAAGGGAATGACAAAAATGAAGGGGGTTGAAGCAACAGACCGACAGCAAAGGAGATACATAATTCGTTTAGGAGTTCTTCAAGGCGTCTAGGCGGTGGACAATTACTTCATAGGTCAAGATGGTCAGTGCCGAAGAAGGGACAGTTCGTAGTAGATTGGTTGGTATTCCCTTGTAAAAGCCGCGGTAGCCCTCCTCTTCCAGTATGATCTTGAATGCAGATCGAATCCCCTTATACTTGAATGGTTTGACCGTTTGATTTTGTAGTCGTGTGCGAATAACCTAGCCGAGTCATGTCAAAAGAAAAAGAGAGTCAGCAAGCGCTTTGTATGATTTCTGTCACCATGGGTTGTCTTGTTGTATCATTACTTCATGCGGATATGTAGCTGTGCTGGCCGCCATTTTAGAGAGAGCAGAAGCCAATAGAATGCCCGTGTTACCTGATGTTGCCTGATGTTGAGCTAATGAATCAAACGGTAAGTGCCACTTTATCACTCCCTCCCCCCTGACCACTACAACTTACCAAACCACGATTTAAGTTTTTCATACAGAGGGAATTGGACAGCAACATGACTGACGCCTATCAATGAGGACCCCATCCCTTTGTAAAACCCTCGGATACCTTCCTTCTTTGCGATGGTCCGAAATGCGTCGATCGTATTGTTGTAGTGGTATGGTGTCTTGTCGTTTTGAGTCTAAGTGAAGAGGGGAGGGTTAGGAGGGGATGGCCTTGTTTGATTCAGGTTGTATACTCTACCATGAAGCGGGTCTTGATCACCCACACTGGGTTTGTCAAGGATGTTGAAGTGGCACCCGCCGTCATTGCAGAGAAGATATGTATCAGCCATTCGTGTCCGCTACCCTCTACAGATAAAAACGTAAACGTCAGTACTTTTGTCCCTACCCGTATTCCCTATTCGCATTACCGTATTTCCGCCCCCAATGTGCTTTACAGTAGTCATACACAGTAAAGTATATGGCCCAGGTAGGAAGGTAACCAAAGATCGTCGGTCCTAATCCTCGATAAAGTCCACGTATCCCTTCTTCGTTCCAAATCCTCGATAAAGTCCCTATGTAGTAGATCGCATCATCCATCGTTAGCTCATCGTCATCCCAACCTGCTCCTGCGTCTGCTTACCCACAGTTCCTCGGTAGATGGGATCGCCAGGTTGCACCCTGCCTTGATTCTGTAATCGAGTCTTGACAACATCCAAAGGGACGACCACTATAGACGAGACAACACCAGCGCCAGCACCGGCAATTGCATGTTTCAAGTTTTCATGTGTTCGGCTGCGTACAGGCCCCAAATATCATACCAAGAAGAAGAGAAACAAAAGAAGGTACATCAGTATCGGCATGGTTCACTCCAAACAAGAGTTCCTTAATCCAAACAAGAGTTCCTTACTTACATAAATTCTTTCAGCCGAATAGAGGCAAAGTCCATCAAAGAGAGTCAAGTGGATAGAGTAATAGGTTTGGCAGAAAAGTCGAGGTTACAATGGACGGAATGTGTCTGAGCGTAGGGAATCGTCAAACCAAAAAAAAAGACAAGGTGTGTTGATGAGGCAAGAAGAATCAATCACCCAAACACAAACAAGAGATAGTGAAGATCAAAAGGTCGCTGCAACGTTTTCGTAATCGAGAAGAAGGCGAGGGTGAGAAGAAGAAGATTGATGGTTGTATGTGGTGGAGGCTGTTGAAGAATACAAGGATCCAATGGAGGGGAAAAAAGAATGAGAAAGAGAAAAGAGAAAGAAAAAAGAGGATTCGCCCTTTTTCTGATTTTTCTCATGGTTCTTTGTCATTTTGAAAATCTGATTCGCAGCACTTTTAGGCGGAGTTTAAACCTCCCGCCCCCCCCAGTGGCCATAAATTCTATTTCGGGCTGTGTAAGAAGGGACATCATATGCTTGAAGCTTATGTTGCTTGCATCCGCGCGATAATCAGGAACGGATAAAAGTAGAAACGGTAATGATATCATTGTGGTAAGAATGACAAAAAAGGAGCATTTTTTGCCGAAAAGGAGCGGCGCTGTTCTTTCAGTTGCCATGGCTGGGTTTCATACCATCTCCATGCCCAAGACGATTACCCTTCTTGGCATTTACTGGGAGAACCTATCTTTGTCATGATATCAGCGATCCTGTAGCTTGTTGAAAAGTCACACGGTCGTTTGGTTACTCTTGTTTGTGATTATCACGCTTTCTGTCAGTTTGGGTACAGTCGGAGTTTAAACACAGAAGCCGAGTTCATTAAGCATTATGTTCCCCATGATTAAAAGTCAAACGTCAGCCTTATCATCTCCCTCCCCCCTTTTTATAACACATTGGCACTTGGATCAGTATACGTATGATTTATTAACAGAGAGAGGGTTAAAACTAGTTCCTAAAGCAAATGCTACTATGCTGACATGACTACTGCTGATCACCCACCGTGGTGGATCTAATTTCTACGATCTAAAAGGTACAAATAGCCTTCGCCAATAGGAGGTGATGGAGACACAGCGACCTTGTTATCATTGAAAAGCACCCATTGACCATCCTTGTAAACATGAGCCACATAGTGTCCACAGTGAATAGAGGTCCCCTTATGCGATACGAAGGACTTGACCCGATAGTTGAATGGAGGCGTGGCATCACCAGGTGCGGCATTATCCGAAGCCCCGGAAGATCCTTCATTACCTTCATCCCCTTGATCATCAGGGTGATTGAATAGCCAATCCAATGCCCGCTCCGTGTCGTTGTTCTACAAATGAAACAGATTAGATTATCGCCGCCTCATGCCGGTTATCTTTTTTCCCCTACCGTTTCCCGCAATGCCTTTTTTGCTTGTGCAGGAGAGAAACCCATTTCGCATAAAGTCGAGATTTGTTCCGTAGAAGCTTCGTTAGCAGTGGTAGTGACAGATTCCAAGGGGGCATCGATATCTACAAGCACAAATAACATGAGTGAGGGTTCCTTCCCACAGCGTCATCCTTCTATTTTACCAGGATCCTCCATGTGTTCAAACAGCCAGTTCATGGCAACTTCGGCACCGTTGTTGCCTGTGTTGGAAAGAGCACGCTTGCACCGGTTGATTCCAAAGCCCATCGCCATCAGCTGGTCCAACGCTGCACTATCAAAGGATGGTTCTAAAGTGATGTGCCGTCAGTCTCTATACACAACCATTGCCATGTTTATGCCCTACCTGGTGCTTCATCCTCGGGAAGTAGTTCTTCATTCTCTTGTTTCCCATGTCCCATATACTTGTCCAGGTTGATAGTGCCTTCGGGAAAGATGATCTTGATATCTACAAAAGCTGTCTAGTCAGCCCTTGCCCACTTCGCCTGGACTTTCCTTTCTTACCTAGTTTTTGAGGTACCCAGTCAACAAAGGCAAAGCGGCGGGCATGGATCACCAACACCTGAGGGAATGTGGCAAACTTTGCAGACCTAAAAAAAGAAGGAGTGTGGGTTATAGATGACTATTTCCAGGGTGTCACACTTACTTTTGAGCTACCGTCTTTTGCTTACAGCTGGGGCAATGATAGCCCTCCACCACCTCGTCCTTTGCAAAAAGATCCATGCATTCATAAAAGTCGACAGGTTGATAGGTCGTCTTGCCATCCTCCTCCACTGGGCGTGCTGGTATGGTGATAGAAAGGCTGCTGGTGGCGTCGGTTTGGTATCGCACCTTGTTGCATGTGTTGCATTGTAGGCGATGTTCCACAGTAAAGTCAAATACCCTAGTCGGATCCTGAGTCTTGTTGGCGTGTTCTTTCTGGGAGATTGTCTTGCACAGGAATTGGAAGAACTCGTAGGCGTCTTGTTGCCGCATGGTGGAGAATTCTTGGTGACCTTTGCCGACGAGGGCTTTGAGCATACCAGGAGAAATGCCGTCCTGGGTTTGGACGTCGCTGTGATCAGAGGCAGGCTGGGGCTGGGAATAACGACCGGAGAGGAGACCATCGGTGAGTTTGCGAAGTTGACAGTACCAGCAGTTCGCAGGGTCTTCCACCGTGCATTGTCGGGAATGATCAGTTAGTTGTTGACCATAGCGGGTTTGGAAATCTGGGATATCGTAGACAGCTTGAAGGATAGAGGCCATGTAGCAGCTACGTAAAGTAGAAAGAAAGAGTAAGAATCAATGCCTCTCTTTCTCTTTTTGTGGTGGTACCTGTTTCCGAGATTCTTGATGCCAGTATAGCCAGGTCCGAACTTTGGCTCCAAGTGTTTACCGTCCTCCGTTGTCATGCTAAAGTCGAATTTCATGTTTTGTTCCAATTGCTGAGCGGCGGGAAAAAAAAAATCATGCGTGAGTGAATAGCCAACACCGACCTCGATCCATTCCACTCTTACCAGTTCAGTCATGCTCTTTTCTGTTTTTGACTGATCGAGCACATTGATTCCCCAGTTTGCCAAATGCGTAGAGAGATCGTTGTCAACCTTTGCATCGTCGCAAGAATAACAGTAGATGTCTAAGTAAACAAAGGTAATACAATGTGTGAGTAACGGTTCAACCAGAGGGCTCGACAAGACATACCAGCAGT